GACCCTGTTGTTGTTGTTATATGCTATAGAGTTAGTTCCAACTCACAGCAACCCTGTATAGGGTTTCCACGAACTGCTGCTTGGTTTAAACTGCCGATACTGCAGTTAGCATTCCGGTGCTTATCCTAGAGTGCCATACCAGGGTTCAATGGTATATTAACTGAGTTAAGTAGTATGATGAATCTTGAAAAATCCACTGTTGAGATCAAAGTTATTATTATTTTTTTAATATACTGTGTAAGTCATCAGGTTTTCCATTTGTCAGGTTGGATGCAGAATTTTCTATTTAAATCCAGACAACTGTAGTGGTTGGTTGATCATCTTTACAACAGTAATATTACCTTCTACGATAATTCAAATGTTGTTGTTGACTTGGTTGGGCTTGATTTCAGTCATCTGGCAGTTAAGATGTAGTAATCTCCCATGATGAGGGATCTAAAATGATGTAACCAATCACACACACACACACACACCCCACACACACACAGCATGGTGTTATATGATGTGATCAGTCCTAATCTAATGGAATTATCCTATGTGTTGAATATCCTCACTTCTATGAGGTTAGATGCAATCTTTAGGATTTGGTTGTATTTTGAGCCAATTTCTTTGAGATAAATAAGGAGTAGAGACAGAGGAACCTACTGACACAAAGAAAGAAGAGTCACGAGTGGAGAGCATTCTTTGGACTTGGGGCCCCTGCACTGTGAAGCTCTTGTTATTGTTGTTAAGTGCCAATTCAGTACTGACTCAAAGCAACCCTGAGGAGTGGCTGATATGTTTGAACTGCTAACCTTGAAGTTTCAATTGACATTGTGGTCCAGTAACTTTTCCTGCCACACTATAAATCCAGGGAAAGATTGTTGCCAAGACACATGAGATCTCCAAATAATTCTGGGCCTACAAAAGCTAAAAGGAGACAAGGACCTTTCTCCTAAGCAGACACAAAGAGAAAGCCTTCCTACAGATCCGGCACTCTGAATATGGACTTCTAGCTTCCTACACTGTGAGAAAATAAATTTCTATCTATTGAAGGTATCCACTTGTGCTATTTCTGTTGTTGCAGCACTACACAGCATGTACATATAGCACTACCTTCCACATACAGCAGGATATGAGCCATATAATTTGGATGTCAGCTAAACAAGACCAGCCAATTTGGAAAGGTATAATCTACTTCAGTGAGCTTTAAGAAAGGAAAACTGTTGGGGTGGAGACTTAATACTTTATACTTCAGTTTATATACGCTGACATCATCTGCGACATCATCTACTGTAAGAGCATAACACCTCTTACAGTAAGAAGGGCTGACGTTTTTAAGAAAAAAGAAAATTATTTAAAAAAATGTGAACTGTTACCAATCTTTTATTTGCTTTTCTTGTCTCTTCTTTTTTACCCTTTTAAAACTGACTTTTGGTCAAATCAAAGTTATTCACATTCCAGTTACCTCTCAAAGTTATGATCTATGACTACAAGCAAACAAACCACTTTGTATAAATTGTTTTTTTTTTTAAAGTAAAAACTGCTTTTAAAATGACTCTGCCTATGGATGTCTCTCCACAAGTTTTCTGGCTTGGTCTGTTCCATGTGTGTGCATGCTGAAAAGCTGCCAAAAAAGCAGCAACAGCTAATGACATCATCGGGAAAAATCTCATTGCCACAGGAAACCAAACATTGTTGAGTCAACCTCTTTCTTCCTGGTTACATGTATTATACTTATTAGGCAAATGAAAAGACCTGTCCAACTTCTTTATATATATATATATATATATATATATATATATATACATATATATGACAAAAATTGATCATATAAAATGTCTACATTCAGAGGCCATCAATGCTTTTAGACTCTGAAGTATCTTCTGATATGGAAAACTGATTTAGCATCTCAATTTCCAGAGGATGCATGCTGCCTCCTGTGATAATGAGGGAATGTAACGGTCCTCCCAAGTCCACAGTGCACATTTGCTGTAAAGTGCATGCTGCAATTTTCTGGTCCTCAGCTCCAACTCTGGCTAAACCAACACAGAGTGTCTCCTCGCTGATTACTGTTTCATAAGAAAAAAGAAGATACTGTGAGAGTCATTCTGTGTACCCATTCAAACCAACATTAGTACCAAGAGAAGCACAGTTTTAATGCCCAAAATATCTTTAATTTACTTATTCACTAATTATCAACCAATTATCCACTTATCTACTAAATGCTTTCCAATCTTTTATGCCACCTGGCATATAAAGCAGTACTTCTCAATTGCCCCCTTTAGAATTCCAAAGGCTTACCATAGTGTAGTGGGAGAAAGATGAGGCTTTCTGTTCCTGTAAGATTTATAGCCTCAGAAACCCTATACAGGGTCGTTATGAGTCAGAACCAACTCCATGGCACATAACCAGCCAACCAAGCAACCCACCCTAGTACATATCCTTTAGCTTTATCTATATCCTTTACAACTGCACAAATTTGGTCTTTAAATAAATTCTGAGTGAACAAAGTATATTCATACTAAATGATTACATTTTTAATATAATGTTTGAAATAATCCTTATTGACCAAGGTATATTTAAATAACACAGGATTAGGAGTCCTGGTGTGGCACTGTGGGATAAAGCACTGGATCCCAAGATTGGTTTAAACTGCAAGATCGTCCATTCAAACTGACCGGCAGTTCCCTGGAAACCCTATACAGGGTCTCTATGAGTCGGAACCAACTTGCCGGCACTTAACAACAACAATGCATAAATACATAGATTTGAGTTTCTGATTGGTTGCTAGCTATGTAACAAATCTTAGTTTTCTCACTTTTTCAAATGGGCTACTCTCTTAAAATGTAGTTGTGAGGTTTAAGGTAATAGAGTAATTTAGGACTAAGATATTGTGAATATTTTGTACACCAAACCGACTCTTTAACAAATAATGGGCATTGTGGTGTTATGCTAAATTCAAAATGCCAGCTTCAGTGAACTTTAGTATTATGATCTCTAGTGCGGTAGTTGAAGGGTTGACCCTTTACTGGTTTTACTGTTTAGGGGAAAAAGTTGTCCTGATCGAGCAATCATCAAGGATAAGAGGTGTGTAGGTAACTATGAACAGCTGATGGATACAACACCCTTGGACTATTTCTATTACGACTGTAACAAGCCTGTTCATTAAAGGTAAACTCAGCAATGGCTACTCTGGTATTCTATCAAGGAAGAGGTACTCAGAGGCATTCAGAACCTTCTAACAGAATATACAGTGCCAGGTTCCTTTAAGAATCTCTCAATGAAGATTTACTAACACTTTACAATATATTCCCGCTGTGTCTTGATATGAAAAATATAAAGACAAATTCTCTTGTCTTTTCCCTGAAGAAAACTATTTCTGGTTTCAGTTTTGAGAATTTGTAAAAGAAGAATAAATACATTTTTTAAGGAAAGATATTTATTAGGGCTAACTGTAAATTCTGTCTTTTACCAAAATATTTATACTTTAATATATTATTTACATCAAATCTGATTTACAGTTGGTTTATAAAAACTCCTCACTTCCTGGAGTAGTGCTAATTTAACTAGAAAGAACTCCCATTACTTTTCTTTCAGTATAATTCATAGCCAATGGGGTTTAAGTTAAAGTTGAAAAAATGACAAGAAAATATACAGATTCTTCAGAGACAGTGCTGGCGGTGTGTTGTATGTGGCTGAGGTTCTATCGTATACACATCAACAGCAGTTGTTGTTGTTAAGTGCCATCAAGTCGGTTCCAATCCATAGCAATCCTGCACAGGGTTTCCAAGGAGCAACTGGTGAGCCTGAACCACCAAGCTTGTAGTTCAAACGGCTTTGCAGTCTTGTGCATTAACCCGTAGTGCCACACCAGGACTCCCATCAACAGCAGCAGGGGAGTAATATTTACGTGCTTATAACATGCTTATAAGGAGTTCTGGTTGCACAGTGGCTTCAAGTCAGGCTGCTAACCTCAAGGTCAGCAGTTCTAAATTACCAGCTGTTCCGTGGGAGAAAGACGAGGCTTTCTGCTCCTGTAAAGATTTACAGCCTCAGAAACACTATGTAGGGTCAATATGAGTCAGCACTAACTCCATGGCACACCACCACCACCATAGGGTCTTACATACCTGGTTCTTCTCCTCGGATTCGTTGATTTTGAACAATTTCCAGAAGCTGTTGAGCTGCTTGGTTCACACTCATAAACCGAGGAGGTTCAAAGATCTTCCTTCCCCTGTAAGTAAAAACCCAGATGCCATTGTTTTTAGCCATAAAATCACATAATTGGTTACTGATGCAATTACACTCCCAAGTATATTCTGTCTGAGCTTTCATGTGATACCCTCTTTCAGTATACAGTAACCCAGGGGACATGGTGTGGCACTGTAAGGATAAGCCCTGACTACTAACCGCAAGGTCAGTAGTTCAAAACCATTAGCCACTCCTTGAAAACCTTGTAAGTCTGTGAGTCAGAAGTGAATCAATAGCATTAAACAACAATAAACCATGGGTAGTTTTATCTTAAGTATTTCTTAAGTTTTTTTCATTGTTTTTTTTTTAAACATAGTTCTGACTTAGAGGATTATTTCAAATGCCGCCTTATTTCACTGAAATGTTGGCAAGAAGAAAAATCAGCAACTTAAAGATAGATGAGTAAATCAAAGTTACTTTTACTCAAAGTAGTGTCTTCTTGTTGTAGAATGCCACGGAGTCGGTTTCAATGTAAGTGGCAGCTTGGTCTATGCAGCAGCTTAATTAGGCTCCAAACTGTATATTTTTATTACTATGTTTAAACCGCATGTTCCTCTTTTCACTTCTTCCTCTAAGAAAAATAAACTACAAGGGTAAAGACGTGAACGTTTTGGATGGTGAGATATAGTTATTTCTGTAGGTCTCAAAAGTGTAACAGGTGCTCCCAATTATCATAATAAAAAAAATGCAGCCTTTGCCGCTGACAAAACATTCATATACATTATTTTACTGACTCTCAAAATAATCCTCTAAGTCAGAACTATGTAAACAGAAATCATGAGCTACATACATATTTCTAAATTTTCTAGAAGTCACAGAAACAAAAACAAAAGAAGAAATGAATTGATATTTTATTTAAACCTAATACATTTAAATATATTTCAATCTAGTCATATAGATTAAGATATTTTTTGTTTTTATGTACTAAGTCTTTGAAATCTGATGTGTATTTTATATTTGTAACACATCTTAATTTGGAAACTAAATTTTCATTGGAAATATTTTATCTGTATCTAGGTTGCATAAAATACAGAGTTGTTAAAGTAGATTCACATATCAAAGATGTCTCAAACATACTTAAAAAGTTTTCCGATAATTAAACTATCAGCTTTAAATGGTTAAAATTAAACAAAATATTCAAATTCCTCAGTAGCATTAGCTCCATTTCAAGTACTCATTAGCCATATCTGGGTGGTAGCTATTGTACTGGACACTGTCAGTGTAAGCAACAGCGGATAATTACTTTCATTATACAATATGTGAGGAAAATAAGGCTCAGAGATGGAAGTGACTTGTCCAAGAGCAGTACACAACCAATGGCAAATTTGGAGCTTGAGCCAATATCTGCTGATTCCCAATGCATTAATTCAGTCCATAGATGTTTACAAGTACTACATATCACTTCATAAGAATAAAAGTGTTAATTTTTTAACCGTTATGAAATCTGATTTTCAACAATCTTTAGAACTCATGTCATTGAAATAGAATTTAATAGACTTCCTTAAGGAACTAAAATAAATGTAAGCATTTTCATAACTTACTTGATTAGATTTTCCAGAGACTGCTCCTTTACTTTGATGTCTGTAGGAAGTGAAAATATTAGATAGAATACTTTATCCAAAACCCTATGTGTAAACTTCAGTTAAGCGACAATCACCTATATTTCTGGGAAGCATTCTTCCCAAGTCTCCAAAAGGCTCATTTGAAAATCCCTAACAGTCTTCCCTAACACTTCTCTCCAGGCACGTTCTTACGGAAATAGAAGAATGAAAGTTTGTGGTGTGTAAAATCACTGGTTAAAAAACAACATGAACTTGGTCTTAAGACTATTCTGAAAGGATCTAATTTCCTCTTGGAAAAGAAGAATGAATTAGATAAATATTGGCAGATACATTACCTATCAGCTAATCAAATTTTTTTTTTTTTTTCTAGTAAATGCAAAGATGAAAATGAAAAGTCCTACCATGTTCCTATTCTTACCTATTTTCATGCACTACAATGTAAGCTTCAGTGGGTATAAAATACATAGAAAAAAATTATTTGCTACATTTTGAAAGATTTTTACTTTCTTATGGCAAGACATGCCATATTTATGAATAAATACTTTAATATCAAATATTCATACTTTTAACAGACATTTATTTACTAAGCACCCAACGTAGACCCTCTGTCAGGTACTGGGCATCCAAAAGAAACAAGAAGGAACACTAACATTGCTCTCACACCAAGCATCACACATATTTGACGCTTTACACTTTTTAATCACTAGTGGTAGTTGAATGACTTGGTCTAAGTTGAAAGAGTAGAATTATCCTATACCCTCCCAGGAACTCAATATACAACAGCAAGAGCAACAGCTGCTTCCTGCTTTTCATAATGAAAACAAATGCTTCAGCCAATGTTTGTTTTTACAATAATAAATATGGTGCAAGTGACAGACTTCTGCAGCTTTCCTAAGTAATTATAAAAGTTTTTCTTATAAAGGATAGTAAAAAGTTAACTAAGGAGAACAGGAGAAAGTCATCTCATCTATTTCTAAATGTGGTGAACACATGGAACCAGTGGTGAAACTTATTTTTCAGATTCAAAATACAATTCATTAATGTATTACATTCATTCACCTTGAGCTTCTGAGATGTTATTTGTGGTAGTAAGGTACTTACTTGGTGTGGCTCTGTAGGATAAGTACTGGACTGTGAGCAGCAAGGTTGGCCGTTCAAACCTACCTATAGGTACAGGGTCACTAAGAGTGGGACTCAACAGCGCTTAGCAGCAGCAGCAACAATCCACTTACAGCGAGTCAGCTCCAACTCATGGTGACCCTGTATAGGGTTTCTGAGGCTTTACATTTTTAAGGGAGCAGAAGGCCTCATCTTTCTCCTGTGGAGAGGCTGGTGGACTTGAACCATGGAACTTGTGGTTCACAGTCCAGAACCAAGTAAATATTCTATAAATGTCTACTGAAAAACTGTACTTTCTTAGTACCCACCTGTATTAATCTATCCACTCCTTAAACAACTTCATTCCCAGCTCCTTAGGCCTTTGCTAACTTCCCCTCAAATGCTTTTGGTTCTTTCAAATATCTATATTAACACTATTGTTCATTAACTTCTAATTATGTCATATACAAACGTTTTGTCTCCCCAAGTAAATTTTAAATTCTCTTTGATTTCCTACTATGGATTATTCTCGATAATCCCTACAGGGCTGGGCCCATAGCAGGCATTCAATAAATACATCATAATTTAAATCATGATAATTTCAAATAATCAAATGATGAAATCTACAGTTGAGGATTTGGAATCATGATATCCTAATACTTCACAACCTGTTCCTGTTTTGTTAATGGAACAAGGAAGACAGATTGTTTAACCTTGTTTGTCTTTTCCCAGGAAAGCCAGGAAAAGAGGCAGCAATTTAAGAGGTCTAGAGCCAAAGTTCTGTCCTTCCTGCCTCTCCAAACAATAGAACTGGACTGTCCTTTCAACTTTCACGTGCATAATACTTTAATTCCACACTAGAGTTCAAAACCCTGAGGGTAGGATCCCTTTCTACTATTTCCTTCATTTTTCTTAAAAGGCCTAATGGACACTAAGTAACAACTCAAAAAATACTTACCTGTAAATTGATTTTTTTACCTGCCTAGCCATAGATTCCCAAAAGATAAATGTTGTTCACCTGACCCTCAGATATTTATAGACACATGGGGGATTACCATGTAGCCTGGCTCTTCTCTCCGTGCTCTGTTCTAGTCTCAGTTCTGTTGGAATGCGCATGGAGCCCAGCTCCAGGGATTCCTGAGTACTAATCCCTCTATTCAATGCACTTTTATTATTCCCTGTAAAGAGTCTTTTTACCAGCTGTCCTTCCTACTATCATTCTTCTTTAGTCCTAATTGACATATTCCACACCAATTAACAAGTGTTTTCCAATGTGAACCCACTCAAAGCGACCTTATGTAGGGTTTCTGAGGAGCGAATGTGGTTGGTTTAAACTGCCAATCTTCTGGCTAGCAGTCCAGTGCTTATGAACAGGAGTCCTGGTGTAGCAATGTAAGATAATCACAGTTGTTAACTGCTAACTGGAAAGGCGGTTCAAACCCACCAGCTGCTCATCAGAAGCCCTATACAGAGTCACCATGAGTCAGAACTCACTAGGTGGCACTTAACAAGTTTCTTTCCACATAAAATATTCAAGGGCAAAAATTATAAGTAAGAAAGTAAATAATAATCATCAGTAAATACAAAATCACAATTACAATATATTAAAAGACCACATTACAGCAGCTAATAATGGAACAGAGGCATAAGCCAAGAAAATTAATACAAAAGTAGTCAAGAATGATAGAGGGAAGGACAGCTATGAAAAGGGTTTGGTACAAGAAAAAGTACATCGAATAGAGGGATTAGAACTAGGAAATCACTGGAGCTAGGATCCGTGTGTATTACAACAGAACTATAAAGCTTTAAAACAGAACAAGGAGGGAAGAATGGAAGAGACAAGGGAAGATATTAAGAGTCAGAATTAAGTAGGTATCAGCGTGAAAAGAATAAAAGAAATGTATTCTGATGTGAACTGAAAGAACTAGCAGGAGGTCAAGATTTTCTGTACCAAAAGATGACAAGTCTGAGCCAAAAAAAAAAAAAAAATCAACCAATGAACTTCCACAAGTATTTACTGAGTAGCTACACTATACCAGACCCTTAGAGACATTAGGAAGAAAGCAATGCGCAAAACAAAATCCCTGCTGTTAAAAAGTAGGGAAGAAAATAAGTAAGTTAATAAAATAATTCATGTTGATAAGACTATAAAAAAATTATACAAGGTAATGGGAAAGACAGTCACAACAAGGGATATAGAGTAAACCACCTGTATTTAGATTAACTTTTACTCTAAATCAGGAGTCAGAAAATTTTTCTATAAAGGGCCAAAAAATAAATATTTTAGGTTCTGCAGGTCATAAGGTCTTTGTCAGAAATACTCATCACTGCCACTTTAGTGCAGAAACACCACCAGAGAGTGCTAGCTACATCTATGAATGAGTGTGGCTGTGTTTAGAAACATTTATAGTAATTAGGTGTCCTGGTGTTGTACTATAGGACAAGCACTGGACTGCTAACCTCAAGGGTGGTGGTTCAAGCCCACCAGCCACTCCTCAGAAACCCTACACAGAGCCACTAAGAATTGGAACCGATTCAATGGCACAACAACATAATAATCAAAACAGATTGAAAAATTTAAAACAATCACGTAAAAAGACAAAATAAAATTGGTCCTTCACCACTAACAGTCTGAAAAGCACTGCTCTGGTAGCGTAGTGGTTACGAATCGGGCTGCGAACCTTAAGGTCAGTGGTTCGAAACTACCAGCCGCTCCGCGGGAGAAAGATGAGGCTTTCTACTCCCGTAAGGATTTACACCCTCGGAAACCCTGTACAGGGTCGCTATGGGTCGGCTCCGACTCGAAGGCACTTAACAACAACAACAACAAAACAACTTCACGATACTTATCTGTTGTATTTAATAAATACAAAGGCAAAAATTAAGGAATGTTCATAATGTATTCTCTAGCTAGTAAGTAATATCATTGGTAGCGCAGTGATTACGAATTGGGCTGCTGATCTCATGGTTAGCAGTTCAAAACTACCAGTTGTTCCGTGGGAGAAAGATTAGGCTTTCTGCTCCCATAAAGATTTACAGCCTTGGAAACCCTGTACAGGGTCGCTATGAGTTGGAACTGACTCCACAGCACATAACAACAACAACAACAGTAAGTAATATCATTGGCATTTGGTCTTCTGATTCCAAATATTTTTCTCAAAGTTATCAAGATACCAGTTAGTGTTGTTCTGTCCTTCATCACAGAATACACATGCTGTGAAAATAGGAACTGATTAAACCCACTGTCATGGAGTCAATAATTCGGACTCAAGAAATTGACTTGTTGATGATAGGGACCCAGTAGAGGATTTCCAGGAAGGCTGGTGAATCTGAATAGCACTCCTTGAAGTGCAAACTAAGCTTGAAATCCAGTGCTTATCCCACAGCACCACACCAGGAGTTCCCAGGAACTGACTGTTGTTGTTAAGTGCCTTGTCCATTCCGACCCATAGTGACGACCCTGTATAGGGTTTCCAAGGAGCAGCTGGTGAGCTTGAACGCAATCTTGCAGTTCAAATGGCTTTGCAGTCTGGTACTTAACCCACAGCGCCACATCAGGACTCTTAGGAAATAGTATTTGGGTGACATTGTTGTTGTTAAGTGCTGTCAAGTCGATTCCGACTCACAGTGACACTGTATAGGGTTTTCAAGAAACAGGTTGTGAGTTTGAAACACCAACTCTGCCAACCTTGTGGTTCACAGTCCAGTGCTTATCCTACAGCACCACATCAGAAATCATGGTACAGTGAAAAGAGCTATACAGGATTCTATCAATTCTCTCACCAACCAACTGCTGATGCTGGGAAAAGGATTCAGTATCTCTGACCCTCAATTTCTTCATCTGTAAGACAGGCTTGAATTAAGATGATCTCCAAGGCTTCTTTCACATCTATTATTCCATCATTCTGATAGCATCACTACTGCTGCATTCAAAGAGCATTCCTAGTAAGATATAGAGTAATTCCTGATACCAAGTAAATGCTCAATACAATTCTGTTGAATTCCAGTAAAGTAAATTGAAAAGGCCAGAATCTTGGTAGACAAATGGGGAAAATATTGAACACTGGAAAGGATCTGTTGAGATGTTAAGAAAGGGCAACATGAACTGTACAAGTGAAACAGAAAATGAATGTTTGAGAGCCAGGAAAAGAGTGGCATGCATAAACCGGCTACACTGCACCATTTCTTACCTCCAGCTGGACACCCACAATGCAATTTCTTTCATATTAACACATAATCAAAATGGGAACAATATAGCAACTCTACAGGGTGGCTTTAAGGAATCTCTGCGATCCTTACCTAGTAAGCATAAAGTGTGCATGCCATTTTGTCTGTTTTTCTTCACTTTGTCAAAGAAGCTTTCTGGTCTCCAAGTGTCTGTCCAAAACACAATGGAAACTGTCTCTCCAAAATTATATAACTAGGAAAAATAAAAACATTAATTAGTGGTGGAATATTTCACTAATTACTATTTCAGAGAGAGAAGAGGAGAATTTAATCTCTTTGAAACCACAATAAAAAGTGAGAACAAACTTGCAAAGGGTTGAAGATCAACTCTGTCATGAGAAAGGTGATAAAATTCTCTTTGCTCCACAGTGGCTGGTGGTGTCTAATGTTTTAGCACGTAGTACAGGACCAATCAGATGTAGCCATGATGCTACTAAAACTATTCATTACAAAGATCCCAGAAATAGATTTAAAAAAAATAAAAAAAGACCTGTGAACAACTCAGAGCAGGTTTCACCAGGTTCATAATTATCATCCTCATTTATTTTACACATGAGTCCAGCAAGGTGCAGAAAGAACTACTAGCTTGCCTAAGACCACATAACCATGTAGACGATGTTACTTCGAGACAATTGTGACTCACAGTGACCCTATAAGACATATAACTGCCCCCAAAGGTTCCCTAGGCTGTCATCTTTATGGGGGCAGACCAAGCAAAATAAATGGCAAGGATTTGATGATGTACTAATGATGTTTATAATGATGCTATAAAAATATTCTAAAATGATGTGCCCTGCTATAATCCAACTGCTTTCCTTACTGAAGTGAGCTCAAAAACTTACCAAATATTTGAAACTATTATGATTTCATTCTGACAAATTTAACTGTTTACATTTAAAAAAAAGATTTTTGGCATCTCTGATCGCATTTTGAATTATTAGTATCATTCCATGAAAAAACTTCAAGGGAAAACTATTAAAACTAAAAGAAATTATATTTTCAACTATGTAAAAATACTCTAGAGGTCTTAAATGTTTTAAGAGCCAGGAAAATATACTCATGGAAGTACATAACTAAGTTCTTTATTCAAGAAGAAAGGGACAGACCATTTAAGAGAATTAAGATTCCAGTCACATATAAACATTGACTGAAGCATTCTGTGTAAGTTTCTTTGAATTGTCTAATTTGGGGGTTTAAAGAAAACGTCACACAAGTACTGCTTTCTAGGACCCTGATTTATAAACTGTAACCACTCTTGTGGCTGTGGTACAAATGTCTTCAAAGAATTCTAGAGCATTATGCAAACAGTTTTACCATTTAGATGTCAGTTCCTCAAAGAACAGAAGGATCAGTCCTTTGTGTTTCACAATCCAAGGTCCTACCAGTAAACTATAAAAAGACACTGAACAATATCATAAACTGATGAGAACTGAGATTGCAGAAGTCTAAGTAATAATCCTAAAAGGTAAAGTCTTTGTGCAGTGATTATTTTCCCCAAAATCATTATTGACAAAATCTTAAAAGACAAAAACAAACTAACAAAAACACAAAACAGCTGCTTTCTGAGAAGCAGTAGGTAAATAAATACACGCTGTTAAAAAGCAAACAACAACAACAAAAAAAAAACCGAGAACAATTTATTCAGGAATGCAGTTTACCAAACTGGATATTTTCCCTATTGAAGACAAATAAATGACAACTCAATTCAAAATAATTGGTTCATTATAAATAAGGCTGGACCCCTGCTGTGGTGCTGCAGGATCAGCACTGGACTGCGAACCACAAGGTTGGCAGTTCAAATCCACCAGCTACTCCTCAGAAACCCTATACAGGGTCACTATGAGTCAAGTTGGAACATACGCAGGCGCACTTAACAACAGTGTCTAAGGCTATTTGGCTGGAGAATGTGAAGAGAAACATGATAGAGAAATGGTGTTGCTGTTGTTGTTAGGTGTCATCAAGTCAATTCCAACTCATTGGGATGCTTTGCACAACAGAATGAAACACTGCCCAGTCTGGCACCATCCTCACAATTGTTATTATGCTTGACCCCATTGTTCCTGCCACTGTGTTACTCCATCCCATTGGGGTCTTCCTATTTTTTACGAACCCTCCTTCTCCAGGACATCATAATAAAGTGATGTTAGTTTATAGTTCTTCTTGGCAACATGTTCAAAGTACAAGAGACTATGTCTAACCATCCTGGCTTTTAGGGAGCATTCTGAGTGTACTTCTTCCAAGATAGATGATGCAAAATATTAGGTAGTAAATAATAATTATCAGTTATGAGATATAGGCTATAGATATAAATACTGTAAAAGTCTGGCACTTTCCTCATTTGGCAGAACCTAAAATGGCTTCTGAAAAAACATAATACAAGTTGGACCTTAAAAGATGGGTAAGATTGAGCCTGGGGAAGTTGAGCAGGGAGGAAGACTGAGATGGTATGAACAAAGTAAGAGTGGTAGGAAGTTTGGGCAATGTTCAAAATTGTATTAAGCAATTCTCTAAAAATAGTTAACTGTACCTGACTTGCCTCTAAATGTATCTCTAATTCCTGACATTGTAACAAGACCCTATTCTTGTAAATTCTAGCTCTATAATTTATCTAGAAACTGACTAGGCACTCCTCTCCCCATCACCAAGTTCAAGCCCTCAATTCCACTTGTCTGAACTACCTTAGACAACGTATCTCCTCCTAAACAACTTATCTCCCTGCCACCAATATTTCTTTCCTTGACTCTATCCTCAAAATTCTTGCCATATTAACCTTCTGAAAGTAAATCTTTCAATCTCCCAACAGAAATATCATGCTTTCATATGTACGAAAATGTGCAATGGGGGTGGGGAGATGTCAAGAATCCATCTTTAAGAGCTTTTGATGGTCAAAGCGTGAACACTTTAGCAATAAAATAAATGGCAGTGTTGAATTATAATCCCCAAAATAAAATAGATGATTCCATACTGATATAAGTGAACAATAATTAACAAACAAATAACTACAAGAGAAGGAATGATTCCAAATAATATATGTAGACATCAACTCTTCCAGGTATCTACATATATTATTTGGAATTGTATTGGAGTTATAATTATATGTGAGCATCTCCAACACTGCATCAGTTTGTTGAAACATTTCCATTTATATTCCATCAATTCCTACAGCCTTGTTTTTCACCAGCACCTTCAGTGCAGTTTGGACTTCTTCCATCAATATCTTTGGTTCTTGATCATATGGTACCTCTCGAAATGAATGAACACTGACCAATTCTTCTTCTACAGTGACACTGTGCATTTTCTCCATCTCCTTATAACGCTTTCTGTATCATTCAATATTTTATCCATGTGGATGTTAAGTGTCAATGCGTTGGTTCTACTCATAGTGACCCTGCATAGGGTTTTTGAGGAGCAGCTGGTGGGTTTGAAATGCCAAGTTTATGGTTAGCAGGCCAGTGTTTATCCTATGGTGCCACAAAGGACTCTAGAATGCAATTATTTTAGATACAGTGACTCTGTATATTTCTTTTATCTTCTGTGATGCTTTATGCATCATTCAATATTTTGCTCTTAGAATCCTTCAATATTGCCAACTTGAGGCCTGAATATTTTTCTTCAGTTCTTTCAGCGTAAGAAATGCTTATTGCGTTCTTCCCTTTTGATTTTCTTACTCCAGATCTTTGAACACTTCATTATAATACTTGACTTTGTTTTCTCAAGATGCCCTTTGAAATTTCCTGTTCAGCTCTTTTACTTTCTCATTTCTTCCAGTTGCTTTTGCTTCTCTACAGTTTAATAACAAGTTTCAGTGTCTCTTCTAACATCTAATTAGGTCCTTTGTTTCTTTCTATTGTTTTTAATGACCTTTTGTTTTCTTGATGTATGATATCTTGATATCATCCCACAAATCTTGTGGTCTTCAGTCATTAGTCTCCAGTACATCAAATATATTCTTGAGATAGTTTCTAAATTCAGGTGTGATATACTCAAGGTTTCAAGGTTAAGGAGCTCTGGCAGCATTGCGGTAATGAGTCGGGCTGCTAATCTGACAGTCATCAGTTCGAAACTCTCAGCAGTTCTATGGGAGAAAGATGAGACTTTCTGCTCCCATAAAGATTTATAGCCTTGGAAACCCTGTACAAGGTTGCCATGAGTTAAAAAACCACTCCACAGCACATAAGCATCACCATACTCAAGGTCAGATGAGGCACTGTAGAATAAGCATACCAGCCACTCCCTGAAAACCCTACACAAGGTCACTAAGAATAGGGACTGACTCGATGATACTTAACAACAGCAACATACTCAAGGTCATATGATAGTTCTTGTAGATTTGTTTCCATTTTTTTCAACTTCAGCCTGAACTTACTTATGAGCAACTGATAGTCTACTCCACAGTTGGCTTGATATTCAGTATTTTCAGTCAAAACAAGGCCAGACCTTGTTTTGGCTGATAATACTGACAATATTGAGCTCCTCCAATTTATCTTCCCACAGATGTAGTCAGTTTGATTCCTGCGTACTCCATCTGGAGAGGTCTATAGGTATAGTCACCACTTACGTTGCTGAAAAGGTATTTGCAATGAATATGTCACTGGTCTTGTAAAATTCCATCAGGCAACACACAAGCCACCACAGTACAACCGATGGTGGTGGCCTGGAAGAGTAGTACCTCACAACTGGATTTACAAATAACATCGTGATAAACAGAGAAGCAACTGAAGTTCTCAAAGACTCTATTTTGCTTGGATCCACAATCAATGCTCATGAAAGAAGCAGTCAAGACAAAAAATAATATTCTGCTGCAACAGATCTCTTTAAAGTGTTGGAAAGCAAAGAGGTCACGTTGAGGACTAAGGTATGCCTGACCCAGGCAATAATATTTTCAATTGTCTCATTTGCATGTTTAAGTTAGACAATGAATAAGGAAAGCCTGCATTTGATTTGAGTTGTTGGTGAAAAATACTGAAAGTACCAAGGACTGCCAGAAAAAAAAAAAAACAAATCTATCTTGGAAGAGCACAGTCAGAATGTTCCTCAGAAGCCAGATGTCAAGACTTTTACCTCTTATTCTTTGGACATGTTGTTAGGAAGGATCAATGCCTGGAGAAGGAAATCATACTGGGAAAAGTAGAAACTGATAAAGAGACAGGCCCTCAATGAGATGGACTGACACCACCACCGTAGCAGCAACAT